TAATTCAGTGTCTCTCAACCTCAGAAACCTTTAAAATATGTGCATGTGGGCTGAGGAATTATGGGAGTTGAAGTCCACATATCTTACACACACACACACACTTTTTTTTTTTGCTGATAAATAAATGAAGGGAGACTAGTATAGATCTATTTCAAGTTATTTAGCTCTCATCAGCTAGCCATACCCTTACTGGGATTTGAACTTTTTCTATTTTACATGTTAGGCAGTTATAACCACCTCTAAGCCACAAGCTCTCCTCCCTTATCAGCTGAACCAAGGGAATGATTAGATGTTTTGTCAAGGCACCTGGTATGCCCCAAATATATATAAAGGAGGAGGGGGGAGGAGGGGGAGGAGGAGAGTACCCAGACCTGTCTCCTAATAGCTTTCATGTGAGGGGAGAACAGACTTCAAGGTTTGGGGGCAAAAACGGCAAATGTTTGTTGATTTTCTATTTATTCAGGTGGGGGGAATACAACCTCGGCATCCACCAGGTCCTCACGGCCCAACACCCAGCAAAGAACCTGGCAGGGCACAAATGATCACTTCAAATGCCAAGTAACAATCTTGGAACCCCACCCATATTTTATGGGTCATTCTTGGCTAAGGGAATTGAAGGAACACCTCAGTCCTTCCTCTAAGGCAGCCCTTCTATATGACCTCCATTTAAAATAAATAGATAAATAAAAATCTTGAGCCAAGAAATACCACATGGGAAACAGGACAGGTGCTTCAAAGAATTTGGTGGTTGCTGAGATAAGGCTGCTATTCTGAGGGACTGGATGAAGAAACGAAGCTGCTCCAGGGACAGGGCTGCCTGTGAAAAGCTCCTCTGCCCAACCTATTCCTCCCTGCGGATGACTTTAGACAAACTTATTGTTTGTGTATGTTCCAGCATAACTCTGGAACGCCTCGAGCAATTTCAACCAAATTGGCACACTGATGACCTAATCTCTAGAAACAAATACTGTGGGGGTAAGATATCCCTAACAGCCCTCGGTGTGTGTGTGTTCTGTTATGATACAGCCTGTTGTGCCTTCAAGTGGCTTCTACTGTACTGCCATAAAATGCTTCTACTGTACAGCACAGTGGAGTTGCCATGGTACCGGCTTCACAGTACTCCACAAGGGGACTCCCTCTGGTAAGGGGAAAATCCAACATTAGAAATTACATTTGGTCCAAACAATTTTTCCCCCTATAAATAAATACCCAGACAACGCCAGGTTATCAGTTAGTGTATAAATAAAATGTACATAATAAATGGTCAGAGGAAAGTGGCTGCAGGGTCAGCAACTGACCAAGTAAACCAACAGTTCCCCAATATTTCCAGCTTTGCGGACAGGCAGTGGAGGGAATATTTCCGTGCAATCCCACCCCTCACACCAATGGAGTGTGTGTGCATGTACACTCGCCTGCCACTCGCACAAGTGGGGGATGCACATGTACATGCTTGCTTGCAATTTCCGCAACCCAGGTTGTAAACAGCTCATGGGGACCCCTGGAGTAAGCTACAAGTAGTCCGGGCACTCTGCCATCAACAGCAGAGCCAAGAGTTACGTTTCCTTTATTGTCATTGCACCACGGACAACAAAATTAAACTTGCATCTTCAGTGTACATCAGACATAAGAAAACTATGCAAATAAAACAAAAACACATATCCTTCGCATTCTATATACAAACACCGCACGCCAAGGCTGATCACCGGTCATTTTGCTTACCTCATTATCAGACTCCACCAGTACTTGGTCGTATTCACTAAGAGCTACTAAGAACATGATGGAAGTTACATTTTCAAAGCAGTGTATCCACTTCCTCCTTTCTGACCTTTGCCCACCGACATCCACCATTCTGAAGAGGGGGGGGGGAGAGAAACAACAGTGAATGCCCATCGATCGGTCAATGTTTCCAATCCCCAAGTCCCCCCCCCCCAAAAAAAATGGAGTATCCAATACGTTTGCAACAGCAGAATTGTTGGAGAACAGCAAGCCTGGTGTGAGAATGATAATCTGTGTAGTGGTGTTATTTCCTTTAGATTCCCTGCTACAATCCATCTTTTTCCTGAAGGCTTCTAGTCTAATATGCTATTAGGCTGCCACTAGATGAAAGGATGGGCAACTGATCTCTATGTGTCCAGCTTTTACCCAAAAGGTCTTCCCCAATATCATTGTACCGAAGAGTCAGGAAGCACTCCACTCTGCATTAGTGACAACAAGCTTGAGGTGCTGCTGTATATCAGAGATTTCTAACCTTGGCAACTTTGCAACTTATGGATTTCAACAGGGCTGGCTAAGGAATTCTGGGAGTGGAAGTCCACAAGTCATAAAGTTGCCAAGGCTGGACATCCTCGCTGTAGGTAACTAATCTGAGGTCATTAGAGTAGAATATCAGTGTTGGAAGGGACCTTGTAGGTCATTTAGTCCAACCCCCTGCTAAAGCAGGAGACACCTTTTCAAAGCAAACCTTTTCAGCACCAAGTCCTGGCCGACAGCTCTGAACCCCTAGGACACAACCCCCAGGATCCCCTCTCCCGGTCTTTGGCTACACGAGCCGTCACCCGTTGCTCTTTGGGGTTCCAGCGCACTAGCCAGCTGGTCTTCTCATGCGCATGCACACCAGAAACAGGAAGACCAGGTGGCCAACACACATGCGTACACCGGAAACCAGATTACCTTCCCGGTGTACGAATGTGCACCAGGCAGTTGTTCTTCCAATTTCTGGCGATCCCGTGAATGTGAAGAGCAGCTGGCCGGCACACTGGAACCCGGAAGAGCAACGGGCAACAGCTCACGTGCCGGTAGAGATGGTTCTGCGTGCCACTTCCAGCAGGTGTGTCATAGGTTCGCCACCACAGCACTATACCATTTCTGACAGATGGCAGACCATTCTCTTCTTGAAAGCTCTCACAACTTCCGAAGGCAACTTCTGTTCCACTGGTTGATTGTTCTCACTGTCAGAAAATTTATCCTTATTTCTAGGTTGAGTCTCTCCTTGATCAATTTCCATCCATGATTCCTTCTCTGGACTTCAGGTGCTTTGGAGAATAGCTTGACCCCCTCCTCTTTGTGGCAGCCCCTCAAATATTGGAAGACTGCTATCATGTCTCCCCTGGTCCTTCTCTTCCCTAGACTATCCAGGCCCAGAAGGCTGCTGGCCATACACCCCTAGGAGAGCATCAAGAATGATTTGGGGGCTCAGTCCATGTGTTCTGAGTACATAAAGGGAAGCAACAGGAAAAATGGACAGGAACTCTTTTTCATGACAACAACCAGAAATAATAGGTATCAGTTACAACGACCCAGAAAATATCAGGAAAAAATGTCCCGGTAAGGTCTCGACAATAGTAGAACAATCTGCCTTGTGAGTTGGTCATCGTTGAAGGTTTTAAGAAGAGGCTGGGCAGCCACATCTCAATAGTTTCATTGGTTTTAAAGAAGTGACTTTCAGTGATCAGACCTAACCCCAGGGGAGTGAACATCTCCTCCCTACCTTGATGGGTTTTCCAGACTCAGGAGCAGAAGGGAGTTTCGGACTCCTCCTCTTCCACCCTTTTTTCCTAAACTATCCCTTGTGCTCATGTAACGTGTCGTTTTTGGTTTGTTTATCTGTTTACATACATCCTGGCTTTATTGTTTTCAAAAAACAATTGAAGAGGGGAACACACACAATACTCCTTCCTCCTCCTGTTGTTTCTTCACAGCAACAACCCTGTGAGGTGAGTCGGGTTCAGAGAAAGCAACCTGGACCAAGGTTACCCAGCTGGCTTTATTGCCTAAGGTAGGACTAGAACTCACAACCTGGTGAATGTCCCAAAGTCACCCAGCCAGTTTTCATGCCTAAACTAGGACTAAGATTTACCATCTCTTGGCGATTTGGCCCAAATTACCACTCAGCCAACTTTTCATGCCTAAGCCAGGACTAGAACTCGCAATCCCCTGGTGACTGGCACAGCTGGCTTTCATGCCTAAGGTGGGACTAGACTCCTGGTTTCCAGCCTGATGCTATTCATTCACTCTGAGCATGTCAGAAAAGACTCCAAGGAGCCTCTCATCCTTGCAAGGATCATGGAACTTGGATCAGGTCCTCATGTTGTTGAATACCTTATCCTAGAGCCGTGATAGAGAACCTGTGGCACATGGAGGCCTCTCTGCAGGCATGTGAGCTGTCGCCCCAGCTCAGGTCCACAGCACATGTGCACGGGCCTCCCACCAGCCAGCGGGTTTGGGGGTCTCTACCACGCATGTGTGGCGGGATACGTGTATGTGGAAGACACATGGGCATGCACGGGGGTGGATTGGTCACACCCGCATGTGGGAGGGGGCAGGAGAAAGCGTGCAGGGAGGTGCGGTGCTCCCCCCCCCCCATGCCCCGTTTTTGGTCCCAGGAGGCTTCAGGGAGGTCTGCTAGACCCAAAATAGGCCGGGGGGGGTTACGTGAGCATGGGGGAACACGGGGGACGGGTTTCATGCACACATGCATGAGGGGCGGCTGCACAGGGGGGGGTCACATGGGTGTGTGTACATGAGCACGCTCTGTCACATGCACAGACACGCTTTCCGCCCACGATGACAAAAAGGTTAGCCATCGCTGCTCTAGAGGCTCAAAGAGGATCAGTTTGGTATAGTGGGTTAAAAACACTGAGCTAGAAACCAGGAAT